GAAAATTAGACCGCTATACACTTCATGTGAACAAATATCTTTTCCCATCCAGGTTCCGCATTTCTACTGTTTTTAACTATATATTTTTTAAGAAGAGTTATCCTCAATTTTGATGTAGTTCAGTGTATGCATTTTGTATATATTATCATGTCATGTTTTAAGACTAAGACTCAAAGGTCAAGAAAAAAAATCTACATTTTCTTCCAAAATGGTTTTATCTTTCACATTTAGTTCTCTAATCCACCTGAAGTTAATGTAAGATATAATGGTGAAGTGGAGACAGAACCTATCTTTTCCCCCATTTTCAGTTCTTCCAGAAAACAGATGCATGTCTTGGAGACGAGACAATAATCGTAAGACTTTGGAAGGCCAACTTTGTGCTCCTGCCATTAAGGTACAATGCTTGTTAGGCATCTTTGGATTTCAGAGAAAATATTCAGCTCATATTTGAGTGTCATGCTGATTTAGAGGTCTGACTCACAAGGAATGGATGCTATCAAGTCATGTAAAATGGTTTAAATGAATTGGAACTTGGAACTATCACTTAGATATATTGAGCTTCATGTGATACAAAGCCAGCAAGCTTTCCTGGACAGTGCCTGTGGTGAGTGGCCTAGATTATAACACAGATATTGGGTTGCTGCTACATACCAGGACTAATAAGGATTATGTCATGAAACCAAGGGACTTCCTAGATTTGCTTTCAGACTCCCTGAATAACAGGAAAAGTTAATAAATAACTTCACCACTACCGATTCTGACCCCCTCCAAAATGAAGATTCAGCTACCCTAACAGGTAAAAACAAACAAACAAACAAAATAAAAACAAGTAGCTCAAGTGCTAGCCAGAAGCAAAGAAAAAGAAATCATAAACATCAACCAGTTTCATGACCCAACAAGTACCAAATTAATTACACTTTCATTGCTCATGCTGTATATTCTCTATGTAGTAACTATTTTCTTACACATATCCCCTGTCGTGCTCTTCAGGAAGTGGTGGTGCCAAGGAACTTTATAGCTGAATCTTCAGTTTGCAAAGTATCCAGGAGGGATTCTGACTAAACTAGAAGTAATATCAATAAGGATAGTAGTAACTGGTAGGAATCTGTCTCTCCTCTTGGGAGAGGTGAGAGTTTTTTCTTTACACAGAAGATATTAATTCTAGACAGAAGCATAAGATATTAACTCTAGACAGGAACATAAAGCTGTTATTGTTGTATAGAAGCTCAAGTGCAGGTAGAAGAGTATGTGAAGATTCTTCCAAGCTAACGAGGCAGGCCCTTCTTGTAAATTACCACTGATACTCTGCTCCCTCTCTTTCACTTCTCTCACACCTACATCCTCCTAATCTGCTGTTTTCCTCACCCTGGGATTCTGCAAAATGCATGTCCCAGGATTCTTTGTCAGCTCAATTCCTGTTTATTAATTGGAGATTCATAAGTTGGGGCTACTCTGAGATCAAAAAGTAACACTGGCTTTGGCATTGTGGTGGATGTTGGCAGGGTCTGGCCACCATGGCATTCAGGGTGCAGTGATTCCAAATCCTGACAGATAAGAGACAACACCTACCTATAATGTTAGCTGTACTCTCCAGCTGGCATTGAAGCCAATCCAACCCAACTGCAAGTCTCCAGGGGTGTAACATCAGGTGCAGGTTATTAGCCACTTCTGAACTTTAAGTATCTCAGTCTCATTTTCATCTCCCTTATCCCTATGCCTTTTGTTCTGCCCTTGTGAACTTATAATGAATGTCTGTTTTATTGTTTTTAATATTTTTTAGGTTAGGTTAGGTTAGGTTAGTTAGGTTAGGTTAGTTGCAAATCAGAGAATCAGAAAGACAGAGAGGTCTCCCACCTGCTGACTCATTTCCAAATGGCTGTCAACAGCCAGGATTGGACTAGGCTGAGGCTAGGAGTCAGGAGCTTCATCTGGGTCTCCCACAACCAGTGGCCAGAATCCCAAATACTTCAGCCTCCTTCCACTGCTTTTCCAAGTCATTAACATGTTAGTGGATCAGAGGCACAACAGCTAGGAAATGGACAGGCATCCCTATGGGAGGTTGACGCTGCAGGTGGTAGCTTAATCCACTATGCCACACTGATCACCCCAAGCAATATCTGTTTTAAATTTAACATGCTTCTGATTTCCTAATTAGAAGTTAACTGGTGAACTACCTCTTGAATTTATGCATTTTTTCAGCTCTAGAAATTTTGTTTAATTTAAATATGTCATGGCACCTTTACAATTTCAATTTCTAAGCTTGATGTATATGGTCTTGAATATTTATACATAAGCATTTCCTGATCCATGTATGTTCACTTCAGCAGGTGAAGTCTCTGCAGCTATATCTTTATTGCCTATTATTACTGCTATTTCCTAGTTAGTGCCTGGTTTTTTTAATGTATCCAATTATCTCTGCTGGATAATGAATTTTAAAATAATTTGTAGAATTATTTTTAATCCTCCAGAGAACTGCAAGAGTTGAAAGGTTAAATCATAAATCCTTATCCACATTCAAGGATTAAAATATTTCCGGACCTCAGTTTCCTGCTAATGGCCTCAGAAAGCAGTAGACTCAAGTATTTGGGTCCCCACACCAACATGCAAGATCAGAAAAAAGATCCTGGATCTCGCCTTTGGACAGATTCAGCTCCAGCTGTTGCAGCCATTCAGGGAGTGAACCAGCTGATGAAGAATCTTTCTCTCTGCTTCTCCTTCTCTTTCTAGCTCTTTCAACTACAATAAATAAATATTTCTGGACCTAAACAGATTGTCCCAAGTTTAGGATAATTGATCCACAGTTTACCCTTACTCCTATAGTGCCTTGGAGACCCAAACCTTGAGCCACCTTTTATACCCTCCAAATCCCCAACTTCGGACCTTAAAGCTTCAAGCCACCTGAAATTCAGCCAGCACTTTGGTTAACTTTTAGATTGGCAAACACAACCTAGGAATAAAGTAGCCCCAAATATTGAGCTTGCTTGAGATTCTTCTCCCCTCCCACAGTTCGCCCAGTCATTCTATTTTCTTTTGGTACTTGAAAGGATCTATTTTAGATTTTTATCTTAGCTTTCTTCAGTGAGAAACTGCCTTCCATTCCCAAAGCAGGCATTATCATTTCCATCATTATTATCATCGTATCATTTCCTAAGAACCCCCAGCTGAAAGGACAGTGACAAGGTCTAAGGCAAAATATCAATGAAAATAATCAAGATTCTCTTCCCCCACCTTAAAATTAAAGAAACGCCAAATAGATCCTTGATGCATTTTTTTTGGTATAGATTTTCTTTTATCGAGGTCAATTAGAATGATATAAATTGCAAACACCCTCAAGGTTTGGTTTCCATTGTGGTGTGCAGTTATGAAGCACCGTGATGTAAACAAAAAAGTAATAATTCCCCAAACTTCTTGAACGTGATGTTAGCAGGTAGAATTGTAACTAATGAGTTGAAGAAAGCCATCACTAATGCGCACTTTGACCATATTCAAGCTCTTTAGATGCAGACAGTGATATCTAAAGACTTTGAAACACATAGAGCAAGGAGACACCAGAAGAACCAAGGCAAAATCAAAAACCAGAAGTTCTGTTGTGATAAAATTTAAATCCAGCATCCTGTCACAGTCTCAGATGGAGATAATTTGATTGTCACTATATTAGGAACCCTCCTCAACCTGTCTCAACCACATGGCAATATTCTCAACCCTATTCTCACTGTTTTGTTTCACTAAAAATCCAATTAATCAGATGGAAGGGGTAATAACCATCACAAACTTCCAATGCCATTGTTCCAGTTTTGCGTGTTAATGGGATGGCTTCTCTTTGTCATATATGCTCTTGTCATAGATAATATCATCCTTACTAATTCCCTGGGGAAAAGAAATCATAAATAACCTGGGATAAGATAAACCAAAATCTCTTTGATCAGTAGAAGTCCAGAAGAGGATCAATAGGTGGGTCTAATTTTCTTAAAAGGATGCCCAAAAATGAGACGAGTGGGATGAGGCTGCCATGGACACAGAGCAGCACTGTCAGGAAAGAGCACTCAACATGCCAGTGTTTCTTCACTTCTCCCCACCATCAGTAAACTGTACAAGGGCCTCACCGGCTGTCCTGCGACACGGGACAAGGCATCCACCTGGCCTTTCCGGCAAGACTCAGTCCCGGCTTTGAGAACCCAGGTGGCTGCATGCACACAAACATCCTTCCTCCAACACAATGCCACCTGCATCTCCGCCAAAGGAAAACAATGCTTTTAATACAAGCTTTTTGTTTTAAGGCATCACCTCTCCTTAGGTCATAATACATATATTTGATTATGTTTTAACAGATTTCACCAACAATAAAAAGTAGAGTCACTGTATCATTTTCTCTACCTAGCAAGCCAGATTTTTTGGTGTAAAAATTCCTCCCCTTATAAATCCAGAAGTTAAATTAGCTCTCTCTTTCTATGTAGTTTTCAGAATCCCAAAGAAATTTGTAAGTTGGGTTTGACAGAATTTTTTTAAAGATTTATTTTTATTATTTTTCATTGGAAAGGCGGATATACAGAGAGGAGAGACAGAGAGGAAGATCTTCCGTCCCATGATTCACTCCCCAAGTGAGTGCAACGGCCGATGCTATGCCTATCCAAAGCCAGGAGCCTCTTCCGGGTCTCCCACGCGGGTGCAGGGTCCCAAAGCTTTGGGCCGTCCTCCACTGCTTTCCCAGGCCACAGGCAGGGAGCTGGAAGGGAAGCGGGGCTGCCGGGATTAGAACCGGCGCCCATATGGGATCCCGGGTGTGCAAGGCGAGGACCTTTAACCACTTGCGCCACCGCGCCGGGCCCAGGCAGAATTTTTTTAGTTTGTATTTAAACTAATGACTTACACAATCCCATATAGAAATTAATGTTGTGTTTTTCTTAACATTCAACTTAAACCATTAGGCATAATAGGCTGAACGGGGGCAGCAAGCATGATGAAACACTGAAAACATAAATCAAAAAACACACAAAAATAAATTGTTTTAAGAAATAATTTAATTACCAATAGCAACAACAAAAAAAAGACAGCCAGAAAACTGTACAGTTTCAGACAAATTCTTTACATAAAAACAATGGCTCATTTGCCATTATCTTTTAAAATCTATTTTCAAATGATGTTCCAGCTATCGAAGCTTATTTTTGCTGGCAAACAGAAACACAGGGTTTCTAGTGTTTGATACTGCATAAAACACAACTGGCAATTGTTTCCAAAATTACGACGATGTTTTCTTTAATTCAGAGAAACTTTAAAATCATTCCATTATGACTTTTTTCCAATTGCCACGCCCAAAATCCAATACAAAAACAAACAAAAAAACCTGCTGTTTTAGTGAAAAAAAAAAAAACTCCTGTTTTCCATTTCATTTTACCAGCCCAAGTACAAATTCAGAGAAAAGCTGCTTAAGTCCTGCGGTTTCAAATTCCTTTTGTAATTCATCCAACGCTGAATACTCTTTGACTTCAAATGCCAGAAACCTGCATTATACAAGAGAAACTCATGAATATGCCCAGATTTGTCAGAGTATAATTATCGATTCAGTTGCTTTTCCATCTGCAATAGTACTAAATTATACCTTTTGTGTTCCGTCTGCACTTTTGTTTCAAACAGTACACTAATCATTTTCTCTTTGCATTTCTTTCCACTTGAGTCCACATCTACTTTCGAGGTTTTCTGAAGAATCAGGTACTCCTAAATGATAAAATCAGAATGTCAAATACGCCTCTTACTCCAAAACTCAGAGTTCTAGTTTTAAACAACCCATAAACTTGCAATCTGTCTTCATGCGTAAAGATGACTCTCTTTCGGGATCAAGCAGTAAGAGTTAGATAATGTTTCTACATATTTAGCAGAAACACATGCTAGTCAATGAAGCAATCAAGAGTGATGTTGGAGCCAATGAGCGGCTTAACAGGATAATCCTCCACCTGTGGTGGGAACAGCCTACATGGGCACCAGTTCATGTCCTGGCTCCTCCATTTTCAATGCAGCTCCCTGGTCATGGCCTGGGAGAGCAGCAGAAGATGGCCCCAGTCCTTGGGCCCCCATCCCTGCAACCACATGGGAGAGAAGAAGCTCCTGGCTCCCAGCATTTGGACTGGCAGTTGCAGCCATTTGGGAAGTAAACAGCAGATGGAAGACCTATCTCTCTGACTCTTCCCTCTCTCTAACTCTGACTTGTCAAGTAAAACAAATAAATAGTTTCCTTTTTAAAATGATGTAATCAAAGTATTCCAGTTTAAGCTAGACTCGGTGGCCTTCTAGCCCAGCCTCCAGCTTGCCTATTCAATCCTCTGTGCCATAAAGTGGGACTCACGGCAGGATTCAATGGCAATATGCAAGAAGCACTTGGAGACCAGCATTGTGTCACAGCACATTAAGCTGCCACCTTCAACTCCAGATCCCCGGTTTCAGTCCCGGCTGCTCTGCTTCTGATCCAGCTCCCTGCTACTGTGCCTGGGGGAAAGCAGCAGAAGATGACCCAAATTGCTGGGCCATTGAGATCCACACAGGAGAACTAGATTGGGCTCCTCTCCCCTGGCTTTAGTTGACCTCCTTTGCCCCCAACCTGTCATTCTTTGGGGGAGCAAGCTAGTGGATGGAAGATCTCTTTCTCTCTCTCTTCCCCTCTCTCTCAGTCTCTCTGCATTTCAAATAAATAACATAAACCTTAAACTAAGAAAAAAAAAACCACTGAGAAGAGTACCTGGCATACGGTAGTGCTCTGGCACATATCATATTTAAGAGCACAAGCTATTACTGTTATTACTAATTCAGTATCTGAATAAACTTACCAGGCCTGTAACACTTACATTCCAAACTTGATGGCATCTATAAATATGTTTCTATACATTCTCAGCCCTTATACACAAATTACAAAATTGGGGGCAGATGTTTATCACAGTGGTGGAATATAGCTTGGAACACCTGTATCCTAAACCACAGTGCTTGATTCAAGTGCTGGCTCCTCTGGTTCCAATCCCGCTTCCAGCAGGCGCACACTTGCTAGCTGAATCTCTCACACCCAGCTGGCAGACCCAGATTAAGTTCCATGTTCCTGACTTTAGCCTGGCCCAGCCGGCTGTTGCAGGCTGTTGAAAGAGAACCAGTAAGTAAAAGATTTCTTTCTCTTTCTCTCTCTCTCTCTCATAATAAAAAACATATATAACATAATGGGGTGTGGGGCAGCATTGTGATGCAGTTAAGTCTTCACTTGGGGCCCCTGTGTTTGACATCGGAGTTACTAGGACGGAATCCTTGCTCCAATTCTGATCCAATTTCTTACCAAAGTACAAACTGGGAGGCAGCTAAATGATAGCTCCAGTCCTTGGGTCCCAGGCACTCCTGCATGAGATGTGGATGGGGTTCCTAGAGCCTGGTTTCAGCCTGGCCACCCCTGCTGGCTGCAGGCATGGGGGTGATCCAGTAACCAGAAGCACTCTCCTCTTTCTGTCAGTCTACCTTCCAAACAAACTTCTAGAAGTTTTTGAAAGTCAAAAAATTCAACAGAGATTTTTACAGTAAGTTTTAAAGGCAACTAAAAAGGAACTCTTAGAAAAGTGCATTAGCACAGCTCTAATCATCCAGATAGAAGGTAATGAATTGATGATTTAATCCAACTGACAACATCCACAAAACAGTTGCCTTGAGCCAAACAGTTAGAGATATACTCCTAAGTCACTTTAAAACACATGGTTCCTTAACCAGGCCCTGACCCAGAAAATATATATATTATTTGTATTTATAAATATGTATTTATACATGTAACCTCATATATCACATTTGAATTATTGCTATATTTATTTACTAGAGCAGGGCATGAATGTGGCTAGTCCAGTGCCAAGATCATTTTGCAATAGGAGCCCATTGTGAAAAAAACCAATATTTGTCATGCTACAAATATTAAGATTATAGGCTGTTCAAACTACATCTCTTAGAAAAGTGTTCAGGTGTAATTATCCCTGACCCAACCTACTTGAAAGTAAAAAAGTAATCTGTGATTTGCAGCCCTTTTAATATTTAAAATATAATGAGCAGTTTTCCTCATCTCGCCCCACATGAAACGGGCCGGATGAGTTTCGAGTAGGAACTCCGGGATTCTGAATATGACGATTCTGAAGGCAGCTGCTGAGAGAAGTCAGGTGGAAAGCACAAGGCAGAAGGAGGTGACAAGCTGACAGGCCTAATGACGCTCTTTTTTCCTAACACTGAATCTCAGCTATAAGGGACAAGCGCCTTTTGCCAGTTTAGCAGAGATACCAAATTAATGTGTCACGGTGGATTTTTTTCACTGCCACAGAGTTACAAATATTGCAGGCTACTAACAATTCTACACCCGGATCAGGAAGGAAGTATCAATGCGCACACACTTTCCTACACGTTGAGAAAGTCGAGCCTCACAGCCGATGGCAGAAACACGCGAGCCACAGAGAACTTCGACCCTGTCACTCTCGTTCCGTGGCAGGATTTTTCCACAGTCTAAACCTACTCTTCAAGCTTTGTTAAGTCGGTATTCAACTAGGAGTTAGACATTCTTTGAAAAGGAACTGTAGATCCGCTGACCTAATAATAATAAAAGTTGAAACATGATCACTCTACCCCGCTGTTATACTTCTCTAAGCACAACACAGCCAGCCTTCTGTAACCTCACTGCACTTGCAGGCACCTTGAGGTTGTGTCTGTCTCCCTGTAGTAAGATCAGTATAATTTTCCCCAGGAACATCAGTCTTCCCGTCAGCCTCAGGTCTGCAGCCCATTTCTCCACAGTTTTGGTGTATCTGGCCTTCGCTCGCATGTGATCTAAGTGCAGAAGAGTCATCCACAGTCTGTCATCTCCAGTCGTGCTTGGTGGAGAAGGACACCCGTCGCTGTCCCCCGTGGCTTCTGGTGGGTACAGGATATTCCCGAGATGTTGCTGGACCCAGAGCACCAGCTCGTGCACCATGGGCTCAGACACAAGCTGTGCCGCCTGCTCAAGCAACTTCCCCTTCACAGCCTCACGCTGGGCCCTGGTCAGGTGCTCGGAGTGAACGGAGATTCCAGGTAGACACAGCGGGTAGCTGACCGGCAGATGGAACATGAGTTCTAAGGGCACATGTACCCCCTTCAGTCCTTCCGCCTTGGTGTGGATTTTGACCACGGTCCCGTGTGTCTCTGGAAGGCATCCAAAAATGATCGTTAGCTGTGCGCAAGTCGACAGGAAGAGGACATTGACAAGTCAGTCATTCTTTTCTGTAGGAAAACAATTCAATTATCTTATAGAAACAGCACATACCCCTAAGAAAGCATCAGCACTTAGGCCTGCTAGCTCTCCCTTGTCAAGAAGCTGCTACCAGAAAGGGTTCTCATTAGATAATCCCTTTGAAGTCAGAGTCAGCTGATAATTCTAGAAACCCTTAAAAAAACTCTTGAGATAAATCTTCCAACAAAGGACCACAGGGTATATTACGTTATTAATTAAAAGTCATTGTATGGGGGATGGTGTGGTGGCACAGGGAGGTTAATGCAGTGTGGGCATCCCATATGAGTGCTGGTTCACATCCAGCTGCCCCACTTCCAATCCAGCTGTTGATGGCCTGGAAAAGCAGCTGAGGATGGTTCAGGTTCTTGGGTTCCTGCATCCAAGTGGGAGACTCAAAAAACTCCTAGCTCCTGGCTTTGGATCAACTCAGCTCTGGCCATGGAGGCCATCTGTGGAGTAAACCAGCAGATAGAAGATCTCTCTCCTGGTCTCCCTTCTCTGTAAAATCTGCCTTCTTGATAAAAACAGATAAATCTTTAAAAGGTTATATCTGACCTCTGAAGGTGATGCAGTGGCAAGTCCAAGCTAAAGCAAACCCCGGAACTGCACGCAGCTGTGGGAGCCACAGAGCTGCTGAGGGCAAGGACTACAACTTCTGGCTCAGTTGCAACACATAATCATCAGTGTAAGCCAAAAGGCTGAAGGCATCCAGAGGGAGTGGATGTCAGTGCAGCGCTTCTGCCTCCCCAGGAAGGGGAAGCACACACACTTGGGAGACGACCACTCTGCTGGAGATTCGCTTGGCTTCCCCCTCTGACATGTTCCACACCGCTTCTTCCCACTCCTCTGAAAGCTGATCAAATGCCAGGCTGATTCATTCAGCAGGGGGCAGAGGCGCCTGGCTCAGACCAGCAGAGCAGCCCAGAGCGGGGTGCACGTGTCTCTCTGATTTGCGTCTCTCAGGCCCTCTTCTCCCTCCACCTGCTTGTGTTTTACTTTTCACAAAAGAGGCACTTGACTCTTTTTTGGCTTTACACTTGGATGGCTAATCAACAGCCACAACACCTGGAACTTGAATGTATCCCCTTTGTAAAGAGCATAACAGATCATGTCCACATGCCCAGTCTCCCCATTCCAAGTACTTAAAAAAGCCAGTCACACTGAGTCACGCAGGATCAAGCACATCTGCCACAGATGGCTTTTCCTTAATGGACTTCTCAGGACCAGCTCAAGGAACTGTTACTTTAGGATGCCACTCAGAAACACGAGCAATCACCATGAGGAAGACTATACGAAAATGACATCAACGAAATCTGTGTTCCATCAAGTAAAATGTAGAAACACTTTCCAAACTTTTACATTTTAGATGTACTCTTCTAAAATCAACCATATCTCAAAACCTTTCGTTCTTCCATCCAGTTACTTCTCCTTTTCAAAAAATATCTTATCGTTGAGTTCCACTCCCTCCATGTCAATTAGATCAGCCTTGTCTCACTGTGTGCAACAAGTACTGTAAACAGGCCTGCAGGATCATCGGACTGAATAAATGCCTCAGGAACTGCCCCATGAGTCCAAGCACTCTTGCAAAGGAAATGTAACTTCTAAAGATCTGCATCCATTCATCCATCAGCATCCACCGAGCACCTGCTAAGCCCAAGGCAGTGTCTGCATCCCTGAGGAAAAGGCTGAATCGAGGCATGCATCCTGTCAAGTGATTTGACCGCATGTAAGATGAGGACGACATACACGGAGTGATTTCCTCCACTTCCCCGCCACACCTAGAAATCCCCTTATTGATCAATACACACAGATAAGTCGCCTGTGTGAATTAAGAGATCACTCTTCAAGAGGCTGGCATTTCTCACCACCCTCCAAACAAAGGGCACTGATAACTTCGTTCAAAGATGTTTGCACAACTGAAAATCTGCATACCATATGATCCAGCAATAGCACTCCTAGGAATATATCCAAAACACCTGCTGCACGAGAAACCTACATGCACCCCCATGTTCACAGCAGCACAATCAGTAATTGCAAAAACTTGGAAGCAACCGAAATGCCCATCAGCAGAAGACTGGATAAGAAAGCTATGGTTTATTTATGCCATGGAATACTACTCAGCTATTAAAAAAAAAAAACTGAAATGCAGTTCTTTGTGGCCAAATGGGCCCAACTGGAAACCATCATGCTAAGGGAAATGAGTCAATCCCAAAAGGTCAGATACCACGTTTGCCTTAATTTGCTGTCAATTTGTAAAAGGATACCTGTGAAACGTAGTATTACATTGTTAATTAACCCCATAATGTTGGAAATGGTTGGTTATGTTGTGTTGTGTTGTGTTGTGTTGTGATGTGATGTGTTGTGATGTGATGTGATGTGATGTGATGTGATGTGATGTGATGTGATGTGATGTGATGTGATGTGGATTGTGATGGCATTTTAATTGGTCGGAACGATAATCTGCCAGCTATGTCTCCAGACCAGAGTTAGTCTCCTCAAGAGACTGTTGAATTCAGCTGGGCAACAAGATACTGGACTCTATGCAAGACACATGCTTGCATTGAAAGAAACAAGACTAGATTTGATCTGTAATACTGCAATAAGGTGGAGCAATCCACCATGGGGGGAGGACAAGGGGAGGGAAAGGGGGAACATCAGAGCCTATGAAACGTTGTTATAAAATTAAATGCAATAAAAAAAAAGATGTTTGCAGAGCATCCCCGAAAGCTAGACTGTCTACCTCCAGGTCACAGGGGAGACACATCTCCTGACCAGTATAATAAACACAATGTGTTCCTTCAAGACAAAGGGTGAGCCTGGAATGACCAGGAGCCGCCTATGGGAGCACAGGGCTCCGAAACACAAGAATCCTCCGCTACAAGAAAACCTCACTGAAGCACACAGATCCACCCTGGGCCTGCCTCCACCTCACCTGCAAGCCCAGGAGACAAGCAGGATCACTGGGAGCGAGAAGCCATGCTGGTGCTGCACAGGGGGCTCTGAAGCTGCCCCCTTCCTCGCTGAATCCACGGAAGTCCACTAGTGACCCAGCAGCTACAGACACCTGATTACTGAGCAACTGCAAGGCCATTTTTCAATGAATGCATTTGGTCACCACCACACTCTGACCTTCTTACTCTTCTGTATCCAAAAGAATTGCTTTTCTGGCCTTCATAGGAAGTCCTACAATTTCTTTTTTTTTTAAAGATGTATTTAATTTTATTGCAAAGTCAGATATACAGAGAGGAGGAGAGACAGAGGGGAAGATCTTCTGTCCAATGATTTACTCCCTAAGTGACCTCAACGGCCGGAGCTGCACCAATCTGAAGCCAGGAGCCAGGAGCTTCCTCCAGGTCTCCCATGTGGGTGCAGGGTCCCAAGGCTTTGGGCTGTCCTCAACTGCTTCCCCAGACCACAAGCAGGGAGCTGGATGGGAAGTAGGGCTGCTAGGATTAGAACCGGCACCCAAATGGGATCCCAGTGCGTTCAAGGCGAGGACTTTAGTTGCTAGGCTACCGCGCCCAGAAGCCCTATTATTTCTAAGGCACTGTTTCAATCATGACCAGTTACCTTATGCTTGCACTTCCTTATCCCTCCCTCTGATGCTTTCATCTCTTCTGCTTACCAATATTTTTCTCATTTCTTAAAAAAAAAAAAAAGAAAAATCCAATGTTGCTAATTTCCTTTACTTGTGGATTAGGGAGGCGGGCGGGGGGGTGGGGAGGCAAGATTCATTTTATTTGGAAAGTCAGAGTTAAAGAAAAAGGAAGAGTCACAGAAACAGTTCTTTCATTTGCTTGTTCACTCTCCAAATGACCACCCAGTCAGACCTGAGCCAATCCAAACCCAGGAGCCAGGAGCTTCTTCCAGGTCTCCCACATGGGTACAGGAGCCTAGGTACTTGAGCCATCCTCCACTGCTTTCCCATACCACAAGCAGGGAGCTGGATCAGCAGGTGGAGCATCTGAGACAACAACCGGTGTGCATATGAGATGCTGGCAGTGGTAGGCAGAAGTTTATCTGGTTACACCAGAATGAAGGCAGAACAGAGACAGAGAGATCTTGATTTTTCCATCTCCAAGCTTCACTCTCCAAATGCCCACAACAGCCATGGGCTGGACCAGGCTGAACTGAGAGGCTGGGCGCATCATCCAGGTCTCCCAACTGGGTGGTACTAACCTCCCGGGTGCACAGTAACAGCTTGCTGGACAGGAAGCAGAGGTGGGACTTGAACCTAAGGACTGCAACACGGGATGTGGGCATCCCAAGCAGAAGCTTAGCCCTGCCCCCACGATGCCTGCTCCTCAATCTTCCTAAAATATAATTCTCACCAAGAGTACATTTTCCCATAAGCCAAAATCTCCATAACTACTTCTTCTGTGGCTTTTAATGTCTCTTTTCTCTGAAGCTCCTTTCTTAAATATTACCAATGATTTCTTCATTGCCACTATACAGAAAAAAAAATTCCACAGGCTTGGGTTGTTCAAACACAGCACATCCCAAAAAACACCTGTCTTCTAGACTCGCACATGGCTGACTCCTGAAATATGAGTTCATAATCTCTAATGTTCTGACCAATAATGCACATGCTGTTTGTGGTCCTGGGATCTTGAGCACTTTATGCCAGCCTGATTAAATGGTTTATGCTAACTGTGATTTATAGTGGATAGGAGCTGCAGTCAAACCATACAACATTCCCATGTGACTGAGCTCCAGTGAAAACTCTGAACACCAAGGCTCAAGTGGGCTTTCCCAGCTGGGAACACTCTGCCATGCTCTCCCTCACACACTTGCTAAGAGAATTCACAAGTCTACATGATTCCAACGGAGGAGATCTCAGGACTCACTACCAGTTTCTCCTGGATTTCATTCCAGGCACCTTTCCTTTGCCGATTTTAATATGTATTCTTTG